ATATATACTTAATTAAATCATTACTTCTATTAATATTACATTTACATCACAGGATAAATTGTGAAGCAAGACTTCTTTCACCTAATTTTAGTTCCTCAGCTCAACACAGACATCAGACTCCCCTGGCGGGCTCGTTAATCATTCCCCAAGTGTTTCTTCTATTTTCCTCGCGCGTACGTATACGTTAACTAGCACGAATTATCGCGCTATTAATTCGCGCAGGAACTCCCCTGTCACTCATCTCGTCGTATTGTGAAATACTTCCTCCGCGTAACTGAGAGAGCAAATGAGTGACTCATCGAGTACCATCTAACTCTAATCTCGGCAGCTACAGGTAAACAGGCACCAGTTGAATTTTCTGCTCCGGCTAGATACAGCTACCAAGCGGTTTGCCAGGGATCAAAGTGCGCTCCGAACTTTCGATATTTGTTCGCCAACTTTTTCAAACGATCGAATTTATCTTTTCTACGGCTTTAAAATCGGGGGAAAAAGCTTAGTAAGTTGTAACTTTCTCCTACGGCTTCCCGTCGAGATGAAATTTACCGCTGTGTATCACCGATGAAAAATAATTCTTGACAAGATTGTGCAAAATAACCTTTCGTTACTTTTCAAATAAAAAGTTCGAAGAGTTGGAAATGATTTTTATTGCACGACGAAAGTTTCGTATCTACGTTCCATTTGATTTAATTGCTTGTTAACGAAAGATCTTGTCAATTTTTTTTTTGTTTTATTAACTGCGAAAAATAGTTTAAATCCGGTATAAAAATAAATCTCTTACCACGACGAAGAGCAGCTGGCGGTAAAAAAATGAAACGTCATTAAAGACATTGTCCATCAATTCTATAATACACAGCGATAATAAAGCTCAAAGTAATGCCGATAATTTGATGGGGGAATAAATAAACGAGGCATTTAAGTGATTTAAAAGATTATTGTATAATCCTTGGGCCGAGCCGCAACCTTTCGCTCAGTTTAGTATCACCCCGAACAAGTTTTATTGCCGTCGGTATCGCCGATGGTAATTTAATAGCTGAGGAGTACCGAGAGAAACGAGTTAATCGCTCGTCAGAAGATTTACCGGTTAGCCGTTGAAAGCCCCCGGTAACGGCAAATACATTAAAACCCAGCCCACTCGCGCCCATCCGCTCGCTGTCCGACGACGCGTAGAATTGTTCAATTGACCCAGAGAAAAATATTCCACGGATTGATGACTGACAGCCCGGTGAGACGGCGTGTTTGTAATTGGCCTCGGATTTTGCCCCGCGCGTATATTTCGGCACGATTGTCGTGCGCCCGCCACACGCATCGGCGATAACGTGCGCCAACCTGTCCGGATCGGTCTCGCTCTCGGGAAATATTTTTTTACAATTTCGCGCCAATTGTCGGCGACACCAACACGGTTTTCGCGATCTAAAACGATTTCGCGAACACCGCTTGCTTTATCTGCTAGCAGATTCGGCTTTTCCTTGCGAATCCACCGTGAAATTATTCATCGAATTATCTTGGAACAGCATAATTCTAAAATGCATTTTTTTCAAAATTTCATTTTTTTTTTTTTTTTTTCAAGTTAGAGATGGCATAGCGTTCGGTGTTGAAAGACTCGTTATTATAAGCTACTCTGAGATGTTCGGAAAGCATTATTTCATCGTCAATTTATATATTGAAGAAACATAGACATTCCTTAACTAGAGACGAACAAAATGCACTTGTTTAACGTTTTTAGCAATTGTTTAACAATTTTGTTTTCAATATTTCACATCCCACTGATTGGCGTGTATTATTATTTTCTGTAAAGTGCGCGTAATTTTCTTGTATGCGGAATTTCTTTCTCGTTTTCTGAAAATTACAAATTTTGGACAAAACGCATTTTGAAAGTCTGCTCCTCCTTCGTTGTTCTAACAAAAAAAAAAAAAAAATCATGGCAAAAATTGAAATTACACTTAAAGGGATCCGCGGTAGTTGAGCGTTTCATGAAAAACTCGAGATTTCTGTGCCACGTGTTTTCCGTATCTATATGGCGAACGCTCGCGATGCAAAAGTATCGCAAATAGAAAGGCGCGTGATACTTATGAGAATTCCATTATAATGAAAATTAATTTCGTAATAAGCTCGCGTTGAAATGAAGCTTTTTCATTGATTGCGCGTTCCGCGCAATTTCCGAGCGCCCGTGCGCGCTCGCCGAGCACCCTTTTTCGTCGTGAAATTCCATGCGAATCTGTTTAATGGCTCGCTCGCAATCGCGAATAAACGCGGGGACGAGCTTTTTGCAGTGCGCGGCGTGTATATACGCACGCACGTGCGTATGTATGAGTCGCCGCGACCGCACGTTCGTCGCACGCGCGCGGCTCTCTCTCTCTCTCTCTCTCTCTCTCTCGCTACGCGGAGCTTGTGTCACACAGTAACGAAAAATATAAAATTAATATTGTATCTGATCCGTGCGTGGATACCTTCCTCTCTCTCTCTCTCTCTCTCTCTCTCTCTCTCTCTCTCTCTCTCTCTCTCTCTGGATATCCTTTTGCCGCGATAATCGCACGATATTGAATCGTCATGAGGCGGATAATTTTTTCCCCCCTTCTGCGCCGAGAGACTGCCCGCCCGGCCGCGCCGCAGCCCGGCTAAAATACCAGAGTCAATATTTTCAAATATCCGCCCGACGTTTGATATTTGCAAATTATACACGTATGAGGACTGTGCGTGCGAACGAGCGAGCGAGAGAGAGAGAGAGAGAGAGAGAGTTGTGAACCGCGCACGCGATCGGCTCGCGCGCCAGTTTATGAAAGAGAATTTAGCCAATAAATTTAATGCAACGCTAATTTAATCGGAAGAAAATTTTGCCAGGCAATTTTTTTCGGGACCCGCTAATTAATGAGCACCGGCATGCGGCTCTCTCTCTCGCTCTCGCTCTCGCTCTCCACTTTTATTACGAGTCGCGGCGGCTTTATTGCCAGTACGCGGTCGGTAGTAATTAAATGCAACGAACGCGCGAATGTTGCGCGGCATATTGAATTAGCGGAATTGTTTTCGAATCTTTTGCGGAGAGAGCGAGATCTACGGCAATGTCATCGCGATGTGATCCAACGTCGGGATCTTTTTTATTCTTACCTTGAGAACTCGCGCAACTCATCGTCGTCGTGCCGTTTGGTCCTCCATTCTGCACCGGTGATGGATACCTGAAAATAAAAATGAAATCTTGAGCACATTTGCAGACTCGTAAGAGTTTATTATATTTTTTCTGAATAATAAAAAAAAATGTTTGCGATATAAAATTATATTAATTAAATAAGAAGAAAAATTGTAAAGATATATCAAGCAGTATTGTTCACGCTTTAATACTTATTGCGAAATGTTTTTGGTTTTCAGATGCGGTTATTTCGGATCACCAGTATGCCGCTCCGCAGCAACAGGTAATACTGTTCGATTGTCTATTTAATGATAAGCTATCTTTCAAGATTTAACGATGTCCGTCGGACATATGCATCGTGCCGCATACATAGTTAAAATCGACGCGGAACGTGATAATGGGATTATCGTAATTTCCTCGTACAGTTATTTAATCAATCTTAAGCATGTGTGTACATATAATTTCGTAAATTTAACTTCTCATTAAAACGACCAATCAATAATCTAGGAGCTAATTACGTATTATTTCAATATCCTTTTGTCAGCGTTTTTCCAACATAATTTAACATTTTATCGAATTTTCCTTTGATATTGAAAATATCGAATATTACATTTGACAAACCCATTACGAAAGCGGTACTTAATTTAATTAATTTTCAAATTAGCTGTAATGTTCTTTTAGTTAGCTCTTCCCTGTCACATTTAAAAGGGAAAGAGCCCCGGAAACGGTTTTTCTCTAATTAAAATTTCCGTAATGTGATTGTCCTTTATTGAGATAGTTTCTTGTGTATGTTTTCATTTATGTCGGTAGCAAAAAGGGATTGTAAATCTCTTCCGCTTTAATTTACGTTCACGCTCGTGCCACGATTTTGGATTATATATGTCACACTTTCTATTTTTTTATATTAATTTCTTTACGCGGTTATCACGTAAATATCCCGCTGCCGTATTTCCTAAAGTTATTACACAGACAAGACAAGTGGATGAAGACTCCGCAAGTTTTATAAGTTTTAGTTCATGTGACGTAACATGGCGCTTCAACTTTATCCCGAGTTTTTCCTTTCATTTCATTAAAACTTGGCGAGAGAGCGAGCGAGAGAGAGAGAGAGAGAGAGAGAGAGAGAGAGAGAGAGAGAGAAGCGTCGTACAAGTTAGTTAAAAAGCGTTGCCGCGGCGGCGGTTATCGAAGAGTAATTATTGTTACGTACGTTAAAAAATCCGTTGGAAGCACGATAAGGTGTGTAAAGTAATATCATTTAATTTACGTTCAACTGTACGACGTATCGATCTCGATTACGTCACGGACGAGGATAATAAAGATACGCATTAACAATTTAAATACAATGCTGATGGAACGATAACGCACGTCGTGGCGCAACTTTATTTAACGGTTACACGATAGACGTCGTTTTATTTTATTAAAATACTTTGAAACAATTTTTCTTTCAAAGCGGAGAAGAACATATAAATTTTCTAGGAAATTAATGTTTGCGCTGATAATCCTGGAGTGCAGATGGGCAATTTGCATTTATCATGGGTGCAACGTCGATTTTTCAAAATTTATCTTTCCGATATACATGCAGACCACTCAATTAGGGATTATTCAAAGGGGAAAAAAGGAATGTCGATTTATAACAGGGACCAGGGGACCAGGGGGGGGGGAGGGAGAAGAGAGGCCTTGTTCCGTCTCGGATGGTGAACGCGCGCACCATTTAATTGATTGTGCCCGGCCGCGGACGCGCGAGCGGCAATTATGATCGGCGTCCTCTCTCTCTCTCTTTCTCTCTCTCTCTCTCTCTCTCTCTCGTTCTCTGTTCCGTCGTCCCTCTGTCTACCGACTAATTATGAGGCACGCTAAGCGCTCATGCCGTTGCCACGCGCGTCGAAATCGTTTTGCGCGGATTACAGATATTATCGGACAGCCGCGATATTAGAGGCCGCGGGACGAGCGTCGTCGAGCGACACTTAATTATCGCGCGTAGCCGAGCGAAGAACGTATCGTGCCGTTGTCGTTACGACGTTGCGAAGCATCGATACCTGATCGTCAGCCCACCGCATGTTCGTCGGGAACATCATGGTTGAACTTTAACTGGAATTAACCTTTTCGCCGCGGCACTGTTGAGGCTGTGCCTGCCTCTTTTAAAAATGCGCAAGGCAAGCATATGCACTGCGATTACGGTGCATTGCCCATGTTTATTATTCCCATGTAGATTACCGACACCTTGATCGATCGTTTCTTAGAGCTTTCTTTATCGCCAAGAGTATGTCACCTTGGCTATAAACGCATATGCGTATTTTTACATGCAACCAAAGGGTTAACGAGAAAACGTTACCTACATTAGAAAATGAATCTGGTTACATTGATTGAAATTCTAATTGAAAATGAACAAATGAACATTTTCTGGCTGAATCTATTATAATTCTAAAATAAGTGAGGTAATAAGCCAATGAGAACCAACACGAGGTGTCCGATGCGTGTAAAATTTCTTTATATCATATAGATTCTGTATAGATGTTTCGACCCTTGCTTTCAGTCTATTTCTTCAGTGTATCACTGAGATAATAATTTCACAATTTCGCATGTCAAACAAATTTCTGGTTGAAAATGGACAAATCAGAATTTTATAGAATTAAATTTATTAGAATTCTAATTGAGATAACCGGAATTCTGTTTGATATGCAATATTTCTAAAAATTTACTAAAATTCTTATTTCTATCAGAATAATTATATCAGAATTCCAGTTATCTCAACTAGAATTCTAATTCAAGTAGATTTAACTAGAAAATTCTGATTCGTCCATTTTCCACCAGAATTACTATTTAATCCAACCAGATCTTCTTTCTCATTGTGTGTAGTCGCAAAAAATAAATAATCAGAATAAGAAATCTAAGATCAAAATTAATAAAACGTCTTAACTTATAATTAGCATTTGGTAGAATACTTAAATAGTTAGTCAAATTAAACTGTAAAAAAAAAACGATAAAAAAGTTGCAGTGAACTACTATAAATGAAATTAATAATACAATGGTCAATAAATTAAAATAGAAAATTGTCATGATAAGATATTCTGATAAGTTAACCTGATATAGTTAAATATGTATATTGCGAGTTATTACGAGCTTGTGAGAGAACAACGGAGCCGAACATACGTTTAACATAAATCATAAATAGACAATACGTACAAAATAAATGCGACGATAACAAATAAATAAATAAAGAAATAAAGTGTAGAAGCATCAAGTGTCTGTGAAAAAGTCAACAAATCTATTAAATAATTGACATGCGAGATTATGAAATTATTATCTCGGTGATACACTGAAGAAGAGATTCAAAGCAAGTCTGTACAGAATCCATATGATACTAGGAAATTTTACACGCGGACATCTTGTGTTGTTTTTCATTGACTTATTACCTCACTCATTTGAGCTTTATTCTTTGGAACCTATTCAATTTTTATATTATAATTTTAGATGAAATAACTAGAATTCTGCATTGATATAGTCAAACTCTTCTGCTTCGTTTATTTTTAACCAGAAATTTTCTCAGTGTACATTCAAGTATAATGGCCGTAATACCGACTTTTTGCACACACATAATGCATAGTGCATAAGAGAATCGACCAATTAGATCTTCTTTTCCCTCAGATAGGAGGAAAGGAAGGCTTCTGATTGGTTGAATCGCTTATGCGTTGTGCAAAAGTCTGCGCTGCGGCTTGAAATTGTGTGCGAGCGGATTTTTTACGTTTGATACGCAAGCTATCGGTTAGAACGGTTTTTAGAAATATTACTCACCGTTTTTTTTTTTTCCGGGTGGAAAACGAAAAGATATAATGGCTGCTTTAACGACGACAATTACGTCGACGATATTTAAAAGAAGACCCAGTGACAAAAAAATCATTTGCCGTATGCTACAGCGAGGTAGGACGGCGAATGCCATTGAGATTATAAATAGCGGAGATTACGGAGACGGCGTTGCGCATACACGTACGCGGACATATAATTATATCCTGAAAGTAACTAATCACTTGTTGTTTTCCGTATTGCAAAAGAGGATGTGCCTCGTTGAGATCTACGCGGTGTCCCGGTCGAGACCAACAAATTTCTCTACGATTCTAATTGTCATTGCAACATCATACGACATAAGACGTACCCGCGAATAATTTTTAACCAAGTTTTCTACCCGTTCGGAACGCAGCTGAATTAAATTGTTTAAATTCCTTTTTCTTCTTTGAATTTAAAGATCAACGAAGCTCGCAAGAGCAGCGATAAAATCAGATAGAAATTCTAGATCAAAGTTATGGAGAGAAAGATCGTGTCTCCATTGCTTTCGATATCTCGCGTTTCGAGCTTGTACGGATGCGTGCCCCATTCCGAACGGCTGCGGAATCGGGCAATTACGGTCTTTGACGTTATTGAGCCTCGCGCGATTAGAACCGATGTGCAGCAATGTCAGGATTATCTAATGAGGTGAGATTATCCTCATGGGAAGTCGCAATTAGCGGTTTAATTTGTCTCCGAATACAATCAAGCGCAGATCAGATCTCATCTCTCGCGTAGTTAGACGCGTGTGTTTCATTTGAGACATGTCACACGTTTGTTTTCGTGAAAAAAAAAAAAAAGGATCGAAAAAATATTTCCGAGTCCCCTTTCAGGTTTTTTTGCTCTGTCTATTTACGCTCGCAAATTTTTATATCACATATTTACGCTAACAAATGTATAAAAAATTACTAGAGAAATAATTACAATTTTTTTTTTTTTTTTTTTTTTAAATTAAAAGAATATTCATTTCATGCTGTAACGATGTGATATAAAATATGCATGTATCTCCATGTGATGTCCAGTTGCACAAATATATTGTCAAGTAATAGTGGATTTAATGAAGCATATATGTATATACGTATAATTTATATACGTCTATACATCATGATAAAATAAATGATTTCCATTACACCCTCACGCGATTCGAGAACCATAGAGAGCGGGATAAGCGGGGAGGGGGGAGGAGGGGGAGGGAGGAGATGGCACCTCGGATATAGTAGTAATACGTTT